TCTGTTAGTTTTGTCCAAAGGACTGTAAATATTGCTAAATTCATTTTGCATATTTGGTACCAAACCAAAACCCCTACCATCGAGTTGATTCTGAGTCACAATGACCCTATAGGACAGACTAGAACTGCCCCATAGGGTTTCCAAGGCTGTAAATCTTTTTGGAAGCTGAGTGCTTCATCTTTCTCCCACAGAGTGGCATAGTGGGTTCAAACACCCGACCGTTTGGTTAGCAGCTGAATGCTTTAACCACTGCACCAGCGGAGCTTCTGTTTGGTGCCCAGTGGAGAATGATTGATCAAGTTTGTAATATTTTCTTCCTTTTTTAACACATGTGCTTAGACAGGGATGGGCATTTCAGAGCATGGAATGTTGAGCAGGCGTGGGTTGGGGTGACGTGACAGGCCTCCCTGTTAGGCCTCCATGGTGCCAAGGGTCCCTTGGAGGTCCACCCTCCCTCCTGGAAGTCTTGGCTGCATTCATTGGGCACTTTTTGTTCTCTGCCTTATCTGTATCCCTCTCACTTCGGTATGTATTAAGTAGACCCTTGACTTTTGATAAGTCCTCAAGTTCACAAGTATAATTATGACTGAATTTTTCCCATACAGTGTCCCTGGCAAATGTAGGGGACACGTCAGACCTTTAGTGATTATAAAACAATAACTAAAGCCTTAAAACTATTCATTTATATTAATTAATACCAATCAAATAAAAAGCTACAATAAGCGATGAAGACAAACTGTGTTACGCAAGCCTTTGTGGTAGGCAAGAACCTCACCTCACCCCTTAATGCTTTCACGTTGGCAGGATGGTGGAACAGGTCTGACTTGATCCTGAAGCCTCCTGCACAGGCACAGCCACGGAAGAAAGCCATTTGAGGCTTGGCCTTCTCAACTGTTTCGTGGGTTTCACTGTCTCGAATGAGTCCCGTTGGCAAAAGCTCTTTCTTCCCAACAGTTTGGTTTGTGCTAAACTCTTGTTCTGGCATGGACCCTTGTTCATAAGCCACCTCAGCTGGGGAGGAGGGTACCACCCCAGCGACACCATGTTGCTTTTCTTGTCGTACCAGGCAGAGGAACACCCCAACAGTCTAAGCTAACTTACAAGTGGTTAGTTCAGGAGCCACACGGGTACTGCAAATGACTGTTGTCACATGTTAGTATAGGCTCCAGGGTCTCTTCCGGTTACCTTCCCATTGAGAGTCACTGCTGCACGCACACACACATGGCTGTTGTTACTTGATGCTGTCTAGGCAGCTCTGAGTCATGGTGTCCTTGTGTGTAACACAGAACAATGTTGTTGCTGTGTTTGAGACCATGTTTGTGTATATGGTATGTGTTCTGGTTACCTGGTGCTGCTCTGCCAAGATTATACCACAAATGGGATTGGCCTTAACAAACAAGCGTTTATTCTTAAAATTTGAAGGTTTTAAGTCCAAGTTCAAAGTGCCAAGCCCTATGGGCTGGGTGAAAACCCCTTAACCTTGAGGTCCAGCTCTGCCTCTTGCTCCCGGCCCATGGATCTAGAGGCTTTTCTTCACTCAGACAGCTGCTGGCTGCTGAGGCTGAGAAGCCCAAGGTTGACAAGTAAAAAGGCACGATGTTACCAAACCACACGGCAGGCCATTAATTTAAGTCCATTGTAAGCCCCAAGGTCAGCAGAGCATAGCAGGCTGCTGAACAACGACATGGCTACTTGCAGGGTCCAAGATCCCACCATGGAGCTGATTGCCAGTCTCATCATGGGGAGTAACTACCCCCAGCTGCCCAGCCGCTCAATCAGACCCAGCCAAGTTGACACACAAACAGAACCGCCACAGCACGTGTGTGTGTGTGTGTGTGTGTGTGTGTCTTCCATGATTGGGAGGCCTTAAGAACTGACTGCAGGGAGTCTTGTCCTGCTCACTTACTGGACCCCCTTGGGGTGATTTGCTCCAGGGCAAGGTGGATTTGATCTAAGATGATAGCCCAGCTCAGGTTAAGAATTCCACCCCTCCCACCAATCGTATTGAATATGCCCAAGCGCCCGCTTTCTGTTTCCTCTTCTGGCAACTCCTTCCCTAGGCTGAAAATCTCTAGAGTGGTTTGCCTTGACGCAGGGCTTGGGCCCCACTTGACAATCATCTTAGAGCTTTTCTAAGCTCCGCCCATCATGACTTTCCCTTGCTCTAGTAATAAAAGCAGCTGAAAGCATTAAATGGCTTTTCTTCCAAAAGGCTGTTTCCCGCCACCCTTCCCCCCAGAATTCAGCTCTCCCCTTAGTCTCTACTCTTCTAGTGAACAGCATCTCCTGATGGGTGACAGCGTCGGGAGCAAGTCACATTTGTTGCTTCTCTTTTTCTTCCTACTGGAAGGCATGTTCTGCAAAGGCAGGAGACGTATTTGTCTGTCCCCCAAGTTCACAGCAGGTACTCAAGGGGCTTTCCAAAGAGAATGACAGACTGCTTCTGGCCTCTTGTGGATTGTAACCCAGGTATCTGTGTGCAATAGCTGAAATACACACTTGGCCAGAAGAAGTCAAAGGTGAGCCAGTTCCAGATACAGGCCTCAGGGGAAAAAGAACTGGGGTCAAGGTTAGGGAGAGCAATTTTGAGAGCTTTATGGGGAAGTGAAGGGGACCTGGTGGTGCAGTGGTTAAAGTGCTTGGTTGCAAACCAAAAGGTCGGTGGTTTGAACCCATCAGCTGTCTGCAGCAGAACGATGAGGCAATCTTCTTCCTTAAACATTTACAGTCTGGGATAACATACCACACAAAAACATTGTTCTACCTTCTACTTTGGTGAGTAGTGACTAGGGTCTTAAAAGCTTGCAAGTGGCCATCTAGATGCAACAATGGGTCTCTCCTCATCCAGAGCAAAGAAGAATGAAGAGAACCAATGATGCATGAAAGCAGTTAGTCCAAGGGACTGGTAGGAGCTCTGGTAGCATAGTGCCTAAGGCACTTGACTGCTAACCAGAAGGCTGGCGGTTCAAACCCACCAGCCACTCCTCGGAAGGAAGGTTGGG